CTTCAGCCTGTTTACCTCAAATTTCTATGGACCTTTACCCTGGCTACTGCAGTTTCGACTTGTGCCTCCCAATTCTTCGTTTCTCGTTCGCAAACTCTTTTCCCATTTACAGAGAGCTCTTTCTCCATTTTTTTTTCAGAAAGCTCTCCTAATTTTCTCTCTCCCATTCTTTGCTCTTTCCTTTTCCACTGCTCCTCCATCCATTCTCTATACCAGTACCATTGTCATATGATCCCTGATTCCTGCGAGTCCCAACCATTTATTTTTTTTATTAAAAGCGAAAGTGAAAAAGAAAAAAGGGCGGGAGAGAGTGAGAGAGAGGGAGAAAGAGAGAGAAGGGGAGGGTAGATAGAAGGAGGGGAAAAGGGGTGGGAGGGAAAGTGAGAGAGAGAGGGTGTGAGAAGTGACAAGGAAAGAGAGGGAGGAGAGAGAGAATAGAGAGAGAGAGAAAGAAAAAAGAGGAAGAGAGAGAGGGGGGAGAGAGGAGAGAGAGGGGAAGGAAGGAAGAGGGAGAGAGGGGAAGGAGAGAGATGGAGAGGAGAGAGAGAGGAGAGAGAGAGGAAGAGGGAGAGGATGAGAGAGAGAGAGAGAGAGAGAGTAGAGAGAGAGAGAGAGATGAGAGAGAGACGAGAGAGAGAGAGAGAGAGAGACGAGATGAGGAGAGAGAGAGGGAAGAGAGAGAGAGAAGAAGAGTGAGAGAGGGAGGAATGAGAGAGAGAGGAGAGAGAGAGAGGAAGAGAGAGGCGGCGCGAGAGGGAGGTGGGGGGGGGAAAGGGGGAAAGGGTAGAGGATCACTTCACAGGGAAGGTGTGGAAATCCTGTATATGTGTGTTGTGTGTGTGTGTGTGTGTGTGTGTGTGCATTGCTTGTGTGTGTTTATGTGTGTGTGTTTATGTGTGGTGTGCATGTGTGTGTGCCATGTGTGTGTGGTGTGTGTGTGTGTGTGTGTGTTGTGCTCGTGTGCCCCCATTCTTAAGTATTTCATACTGCTAATAAATATTCAGTTTGTAATACCGTAGTAGGTTGGTAGACAGCAACCGCCCAGGGAGGTACTACAGTCCTGCCAAGTGAGGTTTAAACGAAAGCCTGAATTGTTCTTTTACATGATGGGTAGGATTGCGGGTGTCCTTTTTTCTGTTCATGAAACATGCAAGATTTCAGGTACGTCTTGATACTTATACTTACAATTAGTGTCACACTACAAACATGTACAAGCAAATTATATACACACCCTCTGGTGTTTTCTTCTATTTTCTTTCTAGTTCTTTTCTTGTTTTTATTCCTCTTATCTCATGGGGAAGTGGAACAGAATTCTTCCTACGTATGCCATGAGTGTTGGATGAGGCGACTAAAATGCCGGGAGCAAGGGGCTAGTAACCTTCTTCTCCTGTTTATATTACTAAATGTGAAAGGAGAAACTTTTGTTTTTCCTTTTGGGCCACCCCGCCTCGGTGGGATACGGCTGGTGTGTTGAAAGAAGAAGTAATACCCGTATTTCTAAAACTACCAACAGTGATTCTAGCACTTATCACTTCTACTTATAAAACGCAGAAAGTATTAGGTTGTAAAATTTAGCTTGTCTGAGCTTCTAGGTGTCCCAACCCCTCGAGTTCTGACGTCACCTCACTAGGCTTCCCCTCGCTAGGCTTCCCCTCGCTAGGCTGCTCCTCGCTAGTCAACACTATCTTCACCTTATCTATGCTATTTCTGCTCTAATTCTGGTAATAAGCTTGAAGGACGTGAGTGACCAGTATCTAACAGTGACGCAAGACAGGATTCAGAACCCTAAAACAACCCATGCAGGAGTGAGTGTACTTAAGCTGGCAGTAAATGATGCGGATGACATGGTTGCCAGATGCTGATGACGTCGCCTTCTATCACTATTTTGAAAATTCTTCAACCGTGATCTTTATAACCGTATATGCTCATGTAATTCCCGCGCTCCATCAATGTTTCACTTATGATGAATACACTTCACTTATATTGAATACACTTCACATTCGGTGTGACACTTGATATGTATAATGTCACACAAATGTTGTGACGTCACTGTTTCAAGCAGGCCTACTGCCACCTTCCCTTGTTTATTTTTAATTTTTCCTTCTACTTTTGCTTATTAACTTTTTCACTCTCACTGAATTGGTGCCCACCCACTCATTTCACTTGGTTATCCAATCTCTCGAAATTCTTAGAACTCCGCTTCCACACTCACTTGATCTTGTTATTTGAATCTGTTGTAGCAACAGAAAGCCTACTATCCAATCAACAGTTTGCACTTTGAAATATTAAAGATTTTCCGGCTTCTCTCGACTTTTTTTTAACTAATAACTCTGTTATCATCGTAGGATTGTTCACTGACGTTGTCATTTACCACTTGATTACTGCTAGCAGTTGTTGCACCCCTTAAAAACCACTTAATGTTCTCGGTGCCTTGTGAACAGTCTGCTGAACTGACTGACTGACTGGTGAGTGTGAGTTGTGAGTGTTGAGTGTGTGGTGAGTGTGAGTGGCCTGTGTGTGTGTATGTGGTGTGTGTGTGTGTCGTGTGTGTGTGTGTGTGTGCGCCCTCCACTTATGAGTGGATTCCTACTGCTAATAAATACGGGTAGATACAGTAATTCTAGCATTACCAATACTTGTAACACTTATCGATTCTAATGGATAAAATTCAGAAAGTAGAGATAGGCTGTAAAATTTAGCTTGTCAAAGCTTCAGTGTCTGACGTATCCCTCACTACCGCTTTACTCCTTGCACTCTCGTTCGATGCTATTTCTACTCTAATTCTGGTAATGGCTTGCAGGAGTGAGTGACCAGTATCTAACAGTGATGCAGGACCAGTCTCAACATTGCAAAATGCAACCTCAACAGGTGAAATACTTGTGCTGACAGCGGTGTGATGACAAGTTGCCAGAAGCTGATGACGTAGTCGTCGTACATAGGCCTTCTATCACTATTTTGTAACTCCTTCACCTGTGATGTTTATAACCATATATGCTCATGCATCCCGCGTTCCTCAAGTAATTTCACTTTTCACTTATTACAGAATACACTTCACATTCAGTGTTACACTTTATATGTATAATGGCATACAAACTGTTGTGACGTCACTGCTTCAGTAGGCCTACTGCCACCTTCCCTTGTTGTATATTTTATTTTTTCTTTCTCCTTTTGCTTATTAACTTTTTCACTCTCACATTACGGTGCCCCACATTTCACTTGTTACCCAAACACTGGTAATTCTTGATCACCCGTTTCCACACTCACTTTAATGTTTTTATGTTTGTATCTGTGTGGCAACAGTGCGTACGATGACCGCTAATAATATCTTAGGACAGCCACTAGAACGCTAAAACCTGGGAGCACTATTCAGCGACACTGCTTCACGTGTGTGTGTGTGTGTGTGTGTGTGTGTGTGTGTGTGTGTGTGTGTGTGTGTGTGTGTGTGTGTGTGTGTGTGTGTGTGTGTGTGTGTGTGTGTGTGTGTGTGTGTGTGTGTGGGTGCGCGTGCGTGTGTGCGTGTGCGGTTTGTGGCGTGTGGCACGTGGTGTGTGTGTGTGTGTCTTGTGCGGTGTAATGACTGGCCGCAACTTTTTGTGTGTGTGTGTGTGTGTGTCTCTCTCTCTCTCTCTCTCTTTTTTTTTTTACACAGGGTTTGACAAGGTTAGGGATCCCTAGCTTTATTGACAAGCTATTTATAGGTTAAGGATTCCTAACTTTATTGGCAAGCTAAGAGCTGTTACCTACATCAGCTCATTTGAAAGCATTTTTATTGTTATGAGACATACAAGTAGGGATCAGGATGAAGTTGGAGCCATCTGTGAGCCACCATTTTCATTTGATCAACTGAATTTATCTCGTTGACATCATTATGCTGTACGAATGTGTTCCATACTCGAGTCATCCTGGGTATATAGGATCTCAGATGGAGTGAAGTTCTGGAGAAGGGTACAGCCAGAGTGAAGTTGCTGCTTTCTGCCCATCTTGTGGCATAAAAGCTTGTTTCACGCTGTCCTCGAAGTGCATCCAAGTGTGGTACTTTGACAATATTGGCCTTGTACATAACAGTAAGGCCACCCACATCCCTCCTATGTTGAAGGCTCTACTGAAATGACAGATCTATCCAGGATGGGTCCAGGCGAGAGATGAGACGTCTTGCTCTGTTCTCTACTCTGTCAAGCAGTCGCAGATGAGAGGGGGGGCAGGCAAACCAAGAAAGTGGAGCATACTCAAGGTGCGAGCGTACTTGTGCCTCGTACAGAATCTTGCAACCCCTACTGTCAAGTAGTCAAAAAACTCTGTCATTTGTCTTGAGATTATTGTCTGGGACCACTTAGCATTTTGTGAGAGCACCAGTTCAGTTGAGCGCCAGCTAGAGCAAACAGGGTGGCGAACCCCAGGGATTCACTAATGCTCATGCTCATTCATTCATTCATTCATTCATTCTCATTCTCTCTCTCTCTCTCTCATTCTCTCTCTCTTCTCTCTCTCTCTCTCTCTCAGGGCATAGGTGACAGGACATCCTGGCTAGGATGACACTACCAGCTGCATCAGAATGAAGGATGTGGCACAAATGTTCAGATTGGGTTATTATTTAGATTTTTTTATTTCCTCAACCTTGTGGCCACATCCAGCTCAAAGCCACTAAACTCAGGGTCAACATCACTTTCCTCTTAAAAGGAAAGTGTTAATAAAACAGAGCATTAGTGAATCCCTGGGGTTCGCCCGCTGTTTGCTCTAGCTGGCGCTCAACTGAACTGGTGCTCTCACAAAATGCTAAGTGGTCCCAGATTTTTTTAATACTGCACACACTGAGTGTAAAGACCCAGTCTATACTGCCTAGGCCTATCAGGCCTCTAGTGCCAAATTTGAAAGCAGGAAAAATAAAACATCGATCTACGTTTGGAGCACTACAAGTAACAATGAAGATCAACTTTTGGACAGTTACAGGGTTAGGTACAATTCATAACTCAGACCAATGAAATGGGTAAAAGTTTACGTACTTGACAGAGAGCAGATATGATGGCACCTCCTTCTCCATCATACTCTTCGTTTTCCTTATCTTTGGCTCTTGGTGACTTCACTATTGCAGCATCTACAATATCTTCTGCTGCATCAGTGAACTCTTCCAGCCCATACAGATGGAGCAGGTCAATAACACATCGAAGAGCTGTCAGCTGAATTTTCTCTATGTCAATCTGAGAAATCTGAAGAGAAATTTGCATTCACTTGCAACAATAAATTTTGTGGGGTGTGGGGTTAGAAGATAAAGAATCTAACACTAAGTGGGAGTTGTCACAGATGCTTTTCGCTGATGACACTGTGCTTTTGGGAGATTCTGAAGAGAAGCTGCAGAGGTTGGTTGATGAGTTTGGTAGGGTATGTAAAAGAAGAAAATTGTAAGTGAATATAGGAAAGAGTAAGGTTATGAGGACAACAAAAAAAATTAGGTAACAGAAGATTGGATGTCAGATTGGAGGGAGCAAGTATAGAGGAGGTGAATGTATTCAGATATCTGGAAGTACACGTGTCAGCAGCTGGGTCTATGAAAGATGAGGTACATCACAGACTTGACGAGGGAAAAAAGATGACTGGTGCACTGAGGAGTCTGTTGAGACAAAGAACTTTATCCATGAAAGCAATAAGGGTAATGTATGAGAGTACAGTTATACCAACGCTCTTGTATGGGTGCGAGGCATAGGTTGTGATTGATGCAACTAAGAGAAGGCTGTAAGCAGTGAAAATGTCATGTATGAGGGCAATGTGTGGTGTGAATATAATGCAGAGAATTTGTAGTTTGGAGATTAAGAGGAGGTGTGAGATTACCAAAATTATTATCCAGAAGGCTTAGGAGGGGTTACTGAAATGGTTTGTAAATGTAGAGAGGATGGAACAAAATAGAATGACTTCCAAAGTGTATAAACCTGTAGTGGAGGGAAGGCTGGGTAGAGGTCAGCCTAGGAAAGGCTAGAGGGAGGCAGTTAAGGAGGTTTTATATGTGAGGGGTTTGAACTTCCAGCAAGCGTGTGTGAATGTGTTAGATAGCAGCAAATGAAGACAAATGGTTTTTAGGAATTGACATGCTGTTGGAGTGTAAGCAAGGTAACAATTATGAAGGGATTCAGGAAAACCGGAAGGCCGGACTTGATTGCTGGAGATAGGAAGTGCAGTGCCGGCACTCTGAAGGACAGGTGTTAACCCTTTCAGGGTACAAAGGTCAAATTTCAAAGGGTGCACCAGGGTCCAAGAATTTTCAAAAAATAATTGTTATTTTTTTTTATGAAATGTTAGAGAACCTTTTTCTGAAGGTAATAAAACAAAAAGTACGAAATTTGAAGGAAAATTGACAAAACTACCCACTCACGAATTTTAGTGTGTCAGCGATATTTATGCATTGGCGAGTTTGTCAACTTTGACTCCCATTCCAGGCCAATTACATTATTCCAGCTGACCAAATTCTTAGCTATTTCACTAGTTTTACTTTTATTCTATCAAATGAGCACAAGAAAATCGCCAAGTCAACTGCTTTCAACTACAAAATAAAGTGATGGAAATTGGTAATTTGGCCAATTTAATGCAAAGTTCAAAATATTCCAATTTCAAAATAGGGTCCAGAATAAACAATGCAAGCATTCCTGGAACTAAACTAACATTTCCTCTGTTCATTAGTTACGTTTTGAGGCTTTACAAATGAATTCCATTTTTATTTTTTATTCACATAATGAATTTTTATTCAAACAAAAAAAAAAAAAAAAATAGAAAATTTACTGTTATGCAATATTGTAATAATTGTATAAATAATATCACCACATTTGTGAACGTATATCAGACCCACCAGCTGGCGAGTATTAGACGTGTGATGTCACTTGTTTACTCTTGAACATCAGCAAAAACTAAACATATTTCTGCTACTTTGAGCTCAGTTTCAAGCCATTTTCAGTACTAAAACCATTCAAAATCATCTCTATTTCTATAATATTTCTTCCTTTCTACCAAATGAGACCAAGAAATCGCAAATACAGTGGACCCCCGCATACCGGACGCCTTGCATAACGGACAATCCGCATACCGGACGCTTTGATTGCTAAAATTTTGCCTCGCATACCGCCCAAAAACCCGCTCAGCGCCCTTCGTCCGAGACGCGTCCAATGTGCGGCCTGAGCCAGCCTCATATGTTCCGCCGGTGGCATTGTTTACCAGCCAGCCTCCGCGGTAACATTCAAGCATACAATCGGAATATTTCGTATTATTACAGTGTTTTCGGTGCTGTTTCTGGAAAATAAGTGACCATGGGCCCCAAGAAAGCTTCTAGTTCAACCCTACAGCAATAAGGGTTAGAATTCCAATAGAAATGAAGAAAGAGATCATTGATAAGTATGAAAGTGGAGTGCGTATCACCGACCTGGTCAGGTTTGTACAAGAAACCCAAATCAACCATATCTACTATTGTGGGTAACAGAAAGGCAATCAAGGAAGCTGTTCTTCCCAAAAGGGTTTTTAACTGTGTTTTCGAAACAAAGATCGCAAGTGATGGAAGATGTTGAGAGACTCTTATTGGTGTGGAAAAATGAAAAACAGCTAGCAGGAGATAGCGTCTCTAAAGCAATCATAAGCGAAAAGGCTAGGAGTTGCATGAGGATTTAATTAAAAAAGGCCTGCAACTAGTGATGATGTGAGTTTAATTTAAAGCCAGCAAAGGTTGGTTTTAGAGATTTAAGAAGGTAGTGGCATACAAGTGTGATACGGCATGGTGAGGCTGCCAGTTCGGACCAAAGCGGCCCGAAAAATATGTGCAGGAATTCAAGGAGTACATAGAAACTGAAGGACTGAAAACCTGAACAAGTGTTTAAATTGTGATGAAACAGGCCTGTTTTGGAAGAAAATGCCAAGCAGGACCTTTCATTACAGGGAAAAAAAGGCACTCCCAGGACATAAGCCTATGAAAGACAGGCTTACTTTGTTTATGTGTTCCAATGCAAGTGGTGATTGCAATGTTAAGCCTTTATTAGTGTATCACTCTGAAACTCCCAGAGCGTTCAGGCAAAAGAATGTCCTCAAGGATAATTTGTGTGTGCTGTGGAGATCAAACAGTAAGGCATGGGTCACTAGGGACTTTTTCTATAACTGGTTACACCATGCATTTGCCCCCAATGTCAAAGATTACCCAACTGAAAAGAAATTAGAATTAAGTGCCTCCTGGTGTTAGACAATGCCCCTGGTCATCCTACAGACGTGGCAGAAAGGGGACTTTATGGGGACATGAGCATCATTAAGGTGAAATTTTTGCCTCCTAATACCACTCCTCTCCTGCAGCCCATGGACCAGCAGGTTATTGCAAACTTCAAAAAATGTAAACAAAAGCTCTGTTTGAAAGGTGCTTTGTAGTGACCTCAGAAACTCAACTGACTCTAAGAGAGTTTTGGAGAGATCACTTTAATATCCTCAATTGTATAAACCTTATAGGTAAGGCTTGGGAGGGAGTGACTAAGAAGACCTTGAAATCTGCTTGGAAGAAACGTGGCCAAATTTAGACAAAAAGGGGTTTGAAGGGTTTTAGGTCCCTGAGAGGGTAAAAGTTGGGGAATCTTTTTTGGTTGGGGA